CCCTAAATTACCTCTAAAACATATCTAAATAGCGCCCTCCAACTCCTAAAATTGACGAAGTTACGGCCACCGACGTGGGTGGCCGATCCATCCTGTCGCGGAGTGTATCTGCGTAGTAGCTCGTAATATCTTGGATACTGGGACTAGTTTCGCCCGTTTTGCTTATCATAAATTACGTTTTTCCTGTGTGCATTCGTGTCTATCGTTTAGCACTGGTTTGCCACCCGTTAAAGTTAAATAAACTGTTTTATTGCTGCAGACGTGGCGTAGTGAATCGCAAGGTTGTTGGAGCCCGCCACGTTTAGGCAAATTGGCGCGTCAAGATCCGTCAAAGCTCACTGCCATCATTGCCACAACGTTTGTAAAGTGCCATTGGTCATAAAAGTACGGCGGCGGAAACTCGTGCCGACAGGTTCAAAGTCGGCAAGGTGACGAGGTGACGTGTCAATCGGCCTACGACCACTCGAAAGGGCGTGAGACGTGATCGAGTGCGACACGGGCGCGAAGACAAAGATTCAGCAGCAGCCTCTGGTGTTGCAGTTGAATCTTCGAAGGCCCGTTGGATAAGATATAAACGCCAAGGGACGCGAACGAGCGGTCGGAAAATGTGTGGAGGCTCTTGTGGCGGCGCGCAAGATCTAGATAGCGGACGATGACGCCGGAACAAGGTTCAACAATCTTCAAATGGCCAGTGGGAGCGACGGGTCATGCTTCGGTAACCCCTCGAGTGGTCAAGAGTAGTTTAAGATCCATAACGGCCATGTTTATACTTGATATATGTTTAAGTAGATATTAGGATTTAGATATTACATTTAAAGCCTTCGGGCTTTTGTACCGGAACAGCATATACTGTCAACAACAAGGGCACGTCTGAACAAAACCTGCCGATAAACCAGGTGTAACCCATGTTAGAGAAAAGAATCTGTTCTGGCAGCTTGCCGCATTTACTTTAAGCTAAATGAAGCAATATCGTGGAATTACGGTTGAAATACGTCCTTACCCACGTCATACGTGTAAGGACGTTGTAAAGTTCAACTGATTTCTAAAGCATTTTCTCAGGGGTTCTTCTTATGTATCGTATTGGAATAGGTCGGTTCAATAATAAATGTTTTATTGTAAGAACTCAGCAATTTAGTGAACTGCAATACCCCTGATGAGTATGGTTAAGCAGAATTTGTGTTTGCATTACGAGAAATAAAACACTACTGTAGTATATAGTGACTACAGAAAACGAAATAGCCATTGGACTTATTGTCTCCCTTCCTTGACGCGGCAATTTACTCCGACGACTTCTGGCACTTGCTCATAGTGTCAGATTCCAGCACGCACTCGAGATCATCACCATTGCAGGGTACAGCCCACGGCCCGTCCACTCCTTTACCACCGCACTGGTCACCGAGTCCAGGCTTCTTCTTCATGCAGAATCCAGTGTGCCTGTCAGATTTCTGACAAAACGTCTCGCTGTCGCACTTCACGGCTTTGTTCTCCCACTCGCATTGCTGACCCGCACTCGCCAATTCGGTCATGATGTGCACGCGCAGATGTAATGACGCCTCGACGGCTTGAAAAGCTATCCCCAGCAATGCAGTGATAACTAACGAAAACTTCATAGCGTGGAGATCCTTTTGAGCTCTTGACGGGAGATTCTCGAATGCCTGATGCTTCAAGGGTGCGGCGGCGGCTTGGAAGGAACTTGAAGCCTCTTAGGATCGCACACCAGCGGTCACTGTGACCCTTTTGACAAGATCACTCTTGAGTTGGATCTCTCGTGGAGGGTCACGCACTTCAACGGCTAGTTCGTGATGAGGAAGACGACCCCTGCTATTCAGCGGTGCTGGATCTTATATTATCAGGGTGCAGGCCGGTCTGTACCGGACGGCCTGAAAGCAGATCTTTACGACTACATAATGTTACGAATCTACCTCTATACAATTGACCGATACATTTACCTGCAGCGAGTGCTGCTACTCGGAGTAGCGCTCGATGTTCCAGATGCTATCTTTTCTTCGTTGTTGGGTCGCAAATATAATTGACGACAAAACGTTCTCTCCAAAGCGCGCTTTGACAAATCCATCGCCTCCCGAGCCTTCGCACAGAATACCGAAAGCTTTTACAATATAACTGACACCAACTCGGCGAGCGTCGACTTCTCGCACTTTGTCTCACATGTGGGAAATCGGATATGTCCGATTGGTAGTCGAAAATGTTTCGTTCACATAACTTTTCAGAACGCTAGTTTGTTGCCATCCGAGTTGTTCTTGGGCAAGCTGTCAGAGTGGCTATCACGGTGATGCACTGGGCCAAAATATTAAAAGTAAGATGGGCTGCTGACCAAATAAAACAGCACTGAATGCTAAGTGTAAGCTAGTTTGAATTTAAAACTTGAAGGAGAGAGAAAGTTTTCATTTCTAAAACTAAAAGTTGCAAAAACCAATTTGACAATCAGGTTTTGAGATTATCATGACGTACTTCGCTACCTCTTACCAATTTCTACGTGTTCACAAAGGAGATATCAAGTGTCTTTGATGCCACTTCCATGCCATTCTTACGCGAAAGAGGTGCACGAAATGCCGTAGATTTCGTCAACGTCGTGGCTGGCAAGGTCACTCTCAACTTGTGTCTTGGCATCCCGCCACGCTGAGTTGATGACTGCTTGATCAGCTTCGCTGACAAAAACGACCACCGTCCACGAGTCTCAGTGACGTTGTCTGCGTCCGAATGTGGTGCAAATGGACCGCGAATATACAGCGCGCAGTCAAGTTCTGTGATTTCATTGCCGCGACTTGGTATCACGACGGATTGCGCAGAGGTACCGCAAGCATTTGACTCGTCGCATAGAATAACATTAAGTCGAATCATCTTGGCGCTGTCTATTTTCCGAAGCGGGGTTCCCTCTTTGAAAAGGTGTAGTGGTGAAAGCTTTTGCAGTAATGATTCAGGACGCTCGTTTTCTTCTACTCGGTTCGTCACTTTGATCAGGATAAACGACACTTCATCGTTGCAAAACATCGGGATGATCAGGTCTGCCCCTTTTTGAGTACGAGGGAAGATGCCTGCCGCACGCCGATCCAGCATCTTCCACAGTACCGACTCGGTAGGTTCGTCTCGTAGATCCACGAAATGACTAAATCCAATCTTCCAGCCGTCCCAGGCATTTAGCCACCTGTTGTACAGTCCACGAGTGTCACTGCCGGCCTTCGGATTGTCCTCATGAATCTCCGGTTCGGCACCTACGATCATTCCACAAAATCTGAAACCTTGCAGAATTGGCCACAGAAGACGAACTCCTTCCTGGTTTTTGCATTCTCCCTCACTTCGCTACCCATGATCGTCGCGTCCGTGGTCAGCAAAAGAAAAATTCTGTGACGTAGTGGAGGACACTCATGAAATCTGCAACCAAGCGTGTAGCAATTGGGTCACTCGTGTGCGGACGCAATCCGACGCGACAGATAGAACAGTGAGGACACACCGTGCAGAGTTCTGTCATCGTAGCTATTGACATCTTCGGGATCAACTCCGAGTAGCATTTTGGAGGCAATCCTGTTCAGACTTCCATGTCACCAACAAAATCTCGGGAACAACCAGCCAGAACCCGCAAAAGAGGTCGCCCCAACGAGACAAGAGGATACCACAAAACACCGGAGAACCAAACCAAGACCGGAGTCTGCCACGGAACTTGAACCAGACATCAGAAGCTATCCAAGCAGACATCACGAGACAAAGCCAGAACGAACACAAGGAACGAAGCAGAACCACCAAAAGCCCCAAAAAACGACGCAAATACGCAACACGCAACAAAGCCATCTAAAAAACAATGGAAACCCACGAGCAACGCAAAAAAAATAACACTAATAACTTCCACCCGGACGTCGAAAAGCGCAACCCACAACACACAACGTACAGAAACCAGCCGACGCCTGTCGAATCCGAGACCCTGAACAGAACCAAGACCGCGGCAAGAGCTACAAAAAGCAACGGAACGGTGCTGCAGAATCGGAACTGCGGCGAAATAAATCAAAGCAACCTCAACACCCAAAGAGACAATGCCACACATCTAACAAACACAAGAGAAAAAAGCAAAGCGCATCGCCATCTCGCCCAGGCACAAACAGAGCCAAACATGCAACGAATGAAAATGACGCAGGAACAGCATACCTGAAACCAGACAAGAAAAAAGAACCAACAGCACTCGCACCAAAACCAAAAGCAGGAAAAACCCAATACCCCAACAACCCCGACGCAAAGACCAAGGCAAACCTCGCAGACTACGCGCACAAACATGCAACACACACAACTCACAACGAAGACCAATACGATAAAAGAACGCACACGCCGCAGTGAGCCAAGACACGCACCCCAGAACAACGCTCGAACAGAACCCAGAACGCCAACTGACCGGAACATACGGGGAAGAATAATCACGCAGCGAGACTCAACACTCCGACAAACAAACTACGAGGAAACCCAGAAAACCCGCGACGACCACACCACCCGAGGGACCGGTGAACAAGAAAGCTAGCGAGGAGAGCAAAAACCGAACGCCACTATCGAAACCGTCCAAATACAAGAAAAACAAAAAAAACGCAAAAACTCAATCGCACCAGAACATGCACAAACAAACAAACCAAAAGCAGAATGACAGCACGATCGCAAAAAGCCGAAACAAATCAAACTCGAAATACCAAAAGCGACCAAACAGCGAGCGACGAAAAACCAGACAAAACTCACCACAAAACTCAACGCCCGCGTGCAAACGATGGAACACACACGAGCGCCCCTCAAAATAAAAAATGCCACAGCAGACAAAGCCTCGCGGCACGTCAACCCCACTCCCCGCAAAACGACCACCGCAAAGTCAAAGATAACAACGGCAATAGCGCTCAAGGACTCAGAGAGACCAAGTCAATAGGAAAAAAAACCCTCCCAGCAACAAGACGGAACCAAACGTCACAAAAAAGTCGTCAAAAACAGAACAAAAAAACCACAAAAATCAACCACAAGACGGATCAACCACGCAAAAACACAGCACCGCACAAGAAACAAAACAGCAAAACGACACTAAGCAAGCCCAACCAACATCATGGAAGCAATAAAAAGCGATAGATAGGCCGACAACAGAGCAAAAGTAGAGAAGCGGACAAAACACAGGAGCTGCCAGACATGGAAGTCTGAACAGGATTGCCTCCAAAATGCTACTCGGAGTTGATCCCGAAGATGTCAATAGCTACGATGACAGAACTCTGCACGGTGTGTCCTCACTGTTCTATCTGTCGCGTCGGACTGCGTCCGCACACGAGTGACCCAATTGCTACACGCTTGGTTGCAGATTTCATGAGTGTCCTCCACTACGTCACAGAATTTTTCTTTTGCTGACAACGGACGCGACGATCATGGGTAGCGAAGTGAGGGAGAATGCAAAAACCAGGAAGGAGTTCGTCTTCTGTGGCCAATTCTGCAAGGTTTCAGATTTTGTGGAATGATCGTAGGTGCCGAACCGGAGATTCATGAGGACAATCCGAAGGCCGGCAGTGACACTCGTGGACTGTACAACAGGTGGCTAAATGCCTGGGACGGCTGGAAGATTGGATTTAGTCATTTCGTGGATCTACGAGACGAACCTACCGAGTCGGTACTGTGGAAGATGCTGGATCGGCGTGCGGCAGGCATCTTCCCTCGTACTCAAAAAGGGGCAGACCTGATCATCCCGATGTTTTGCAACGATGAAGTGTCGTTTATCCTGATCAAAGTGACGAACCGAGTAGAAGAAAACGAGCGTCCTGAATCAATACTGCAAAAGCTTTCACCACTACACCTTTTCAAAGAGAGAAACCCGCTTCGAAAAATAGACAGCGCCAAGATGATTCGACTTAATGTTATTCTATGCGACGAGTCAAATGCTTGCGGTACCTCTGCGCAATCCGTCGTGATACCAAGTCGCGGCAATGAAATCACAGAACTTGACTGCGCGCTGTATATTCGCGGTCCATTTGCACCACATTCGGACGCAGACAACGTCACTGAGACTCGTGGACGGTGGTCGTTTTTGTCAGCGAAGCTGATCAAGCAGTCACCAACTCAGCGTGGCGGGATGCCAAGACACAAGTTGAGAGTGACCTTGCCAGCCGCGACGTTGACGAAATCTACGGCATTTCGTGCACCGCTTTCGCGTAAGAATGAAATGGAAGTGGCATCAAAGACGCTTGATCTCTTCTCTACTTCTTGAAATGGAGGAGATCGAGCGAGGTGAGGGCAGTGACGTACACAGGGTCGGAGACAAGCAAGTGGACGTGAGTAGGAAACGTTGCAAAATGTGTAAACGTGGCAATATAAGTGATTGACGTGGTATGTGGCAGTTCGATAACTTTTAGACATACTTGATCCAATCTCGGACATTGGAGCTTGAATGGGTGTGTTGATGAAGGGAGTCGTCGTAGATACTGTGCCATCAACCATGTTTACACCGTTATCTTATGTCACCAGCATGTTCGTGAGATCGTGGAATCGATTTGCTTATACTGTATTAATACCAACTCACGCCGTGTGTCGGTTACTACAACTGGACTAATATCATTGTTGATGGCACGTCGTCGTGCCATAAGCAGACAAATTTTTGTGTGGAGATTTCAGTCGCAGGGCGTGAATAATCAGTGCTGATGGCACACAACGGCCCGAAATGTATCGTATGCATCCTACCGCACCTCGGCACACCTTCACTGCATAGTGCTTGCCGACTCGACTATTAATCCGCTTCATCTGACCTCATTCTCAAATTTCCTGTCAACCGACCAAAACATTTCAACAATCGAATCGATGGGAGATAACACCGCGTCCCCCGCAACGAAAGCGTTAAGCTACGAGTCTGGCGCTGCTTTGATGGCCGAGGGGCCTGAAGTTCTACATGATTTAATCGCAATGAAGATGGAGGCGGCAACAGGTCAACCGCTACCAGAAGTCAGCGTCCACTTCTCGAACCTGTCGATCACTGCTGACATCTCCGTCGCGGACAAGAACGACGCCAAGAACGAGTTACCGACTATGCTGAATGAGACCAAGAAGATGTTCACGGTGTCCAAGAAACACACGGTGTGCAAGGAGATACTGACGAACGTCACAGGTGCGTTCGGACCGGGGAAAATCACACTGCTACTGGGTCAACCTGGATCAGGCAAGTCGTCGCTAATGAAGATTCTCAGTGGTCGCTTCCCCGAAGAGAAGAACATTAGTATTGAAGGAGATATCTCGTTCAATGGCGTCTCGAGAGGTTCCTTGCTTAACCGTCTGCCTCAGATCGTGTCGTACGTGAACCAACGTGACAAGCACCACCCTCTGTTGACGGTGAATGAAACCTTAAAATTTGCCCATGAAGTCGGCGGCGCTGAGTTTGTTCGAGAAGCGGAGGATAAGCAGGCGAAGGATCCTCAGCAGTCCGACGCAGAGGCGCTTCAAGCTGTTAAAGCCATTTCGTCGCATTATCCCGAGATCGTCGTGCAGCAGTTCGGGCTTCAAAACTGTCAGGACACGATCGTTGGTGACGCCATGACACGCGGTGTCTCGGGTGGCGAACGGAAGCGTGTGACTACAGCCGAAATGGAGTTCGGTATGAAGAGCGTCGTGCTGATGGACGAGATCAGTACCGGTCTGGATAGTGCCGCCACTTTCGACATCATCAACACGCAACGCAGTGTCGCGAGGAAGTTCCGCAAGACTGTGGTGATCGCTCTTCTCCAGCCTTCGCCCGAGGTCTTCGCTTTGTTCGACGACGTGATGATCCTCAACGCCGGAGAAGTCATGTATCACGGTCCTTGTGATCGGGTGCAGAGTTACTTCGAAGGGCTTGGATTCTCGTGCCCCCCTGAGCGCGATCTCGCTGACTTCTTGTTGGATTTGGGCACGTCCCAACAACACCGCTACGAGGTTGATTCGTACCAAAAAAATCACCCACGTCTTGGTAGTGAGTTCGCCGAGCACTTCCGACAGTCTCGGATTCACCAGGAAACGCTCTGCCAATTGGCGTCTACTCCTGATCCTAAAGTTCTCGCGATGGCCGAAGAGCATCTGGAAAAAGTGCCAGTGTTTCAGCAGTCCATTGTGCAGAGTATGCAGTCGTTGTTCAGACGTCAAGTGAAGGTGTTGTACCGCAACAAACCCTTCATCATTGGACGAATGTTGATGATCCTCATCATGGGAATGCTGTATTCAACAGTCTTCTACGACTTCGAGCCTACAGAGACCTCCGTTGTTATGGGTGTACTCTTCGCCACGGTTCTCTTCCTCTCCATGGGTCAGTCTTCGCAGGTACCGACGTACATCGCCGAGCGCGACATCTTCTACAAGCAACGGGCCGCTAACTTTTTCAGTACCAAGACGTATGTGTTGGCTACGTCCGCTAGTCAAATTCCGTTGATCCTGGCTGAGTCGCTCATCTTCGGTGTGATGGTATACTGGATCTGTGGTTTTGAAGCAGACGCGATGCGGTTCATCATCTTCGAGATCATCTTGTTCTTAACGAACTTGGCTATGGGAATGTGGTTCTCCTTCCTGGCAGCTATCAGTCCCAATGCGAACGTGGCTGCTCCGTTGGGCATCGTCTCTCTATTGGTGTTCATCATTTTCGCGGGCTTCATCGTTACCAAGAACAACATTCCGGACTTCCTCATCTGGGGACATTGGATCAGTCCAATGAGTTGGAGCTTGAGAGCTCTTGCTATTAACCAGTACCGAGCCAGCTCCTTTGATGTGTGCGTCTACAAGGCTGTCGACTACTGCGCGACGTATGGAGTCACGATGGGTGAATACAACTTGAAGCTGTTTTCCATGCAGACAGACAAGGTGTGGGTCCTGTACGGTATCATCTACACGTTCGCGATCTACCTCGTCTTCATGTTCCTCTCGTATCTTGGACTGGAATATCTCCGTTTCGAAGCGCCAGAGAACGTCGATGTGTCTGAGAACGCAGTCCAAAACGAGTCATACGCGCTGGTCGAGACCCCGAAGAATGGACTCTCAACAAACACTGCTGACTGTGCTGTTGAGATCGAAAGGAGTCACGTTGTTAGCCCCGTGACGGTAGCATTCCAGGATTTAAGGTACTCAGTTCCAGACCCCCACAACCCGAAGGAATCGCTCGAACTGCTCAAGGGTATCACTGGTTTCGCTCTTCCTGGTTCAATCACAGCGCTCATGGGCTCTTCAGGAGCTGGTAAAACCACGTTGATGGACGTGATTGCTGGCCGCAAGACAGGGGGAAAGATCACGGGTAAAATCCTCTTGAACGGCTATACGGCCAACGATCTAGCCATCCGCCGTTCGACCGGTTACTGTGAGCAGATGGACGTACACTCAGAGGCAGCTACTATCCGCGAGGCGCTCCTGTTCAGTTCGTTCTTACGCCAAGACAGTTCTGTATCGGATGTCAAGAAATACGCATCAGTCGATGAATGTATTGAGCTTTTGGGTCTAGAAGACATCGCGGATCATATTATCCGGGGCAGCTCAATGGAACAAATGAAACGCCTGACGATCGGAGTGGAGCTAGCAGCACAGCCCAGCGTGATTTTCCTGGATGAACCAACGAGTGGATTGGATGCGCGTTCGGCTAAGTTGATCATGACGGGAGTGAGGAAAGTGGCCGACTCGGGACGTACCGTCATCTGCACGATTCACCAGCCCTCCTCGGACGTTTTCGCTTTATTCGACAGCTTGTTGCTGCTCAAACGTGGGGGTGAGACGGTCTTTTTCGGTGATCTGGGCGAGAACTGTCGCAATTTGATCGACTATTTCGAAGGTATCCCCGGTGTATCTCCACTACCGGCAGGCTACAACCCAGCCACGTGGATGTTGGAGTGTATCGGAGCTGGTGTGAGCAACGGAGCTGTCACCACTGACTTTGTCAAGGTCTTCAACGAGAGTTCTCAGAGGCAACTACTGGAAACAAACATCTCGAAGGAAGGTATCTCCATCCCATCCCAGGATCTACCGGAAATGGTTTTCGGTAAGAAACGTGCTGCCAACTCTGCCACTCAGATGAAGTTCGTGGTGACTCGCTGGATTCAACTGTACTGGCGTACACCGTCGTACAACTTGACTCGAATCCTGGTTTCTCTGTTCCTGGGAGTTGTGTTCGGTTTGGTGTTCGTTGACGCAACGTACACGACGTATTCAGGCTTAAACTCGGGTGTTGGGCTCATCTACATGGCTGCACTCTTCAACGCATTTGTGTCGTTCGAAAGTGTGCTACCGGTTATGTTCGCGGATCGAGCTGCGTTCTACCGCGAGCGTGCGTCACAGACGTACAACGCCTTCTGGTATTTCGTGGGCTCTACTATCGTGGAAATCCCCTACTCTTTCGTCAGTGGACTGATCTTTACGGTGGTGTTCTACCCTCTTGTGGGCTTTACGGGATTCAGCACTGCAGTTGTCTACTGGTTAGCATACTCGATGATGACTCTGATGCAAGTGTATCAAGGTCAGATGCTCGCGTTCGTATTCCCGACCGAAGAAGTGGCCATTGTGGCAGGTTATATGCTGAATGCTGTCTTCATGATGTTTATGGGCTTCACTCCGCCGGCGAAGGCTATTCCTTCGGGTTACACGTGGCTATACAAGATCTCCCCTCTCAAGTACCCGTTATCGACGATGGTGTCGCTTGTCTTCGCAAATTGTGATCACCTTCCGACATGGGATGAATCTACGCAAGAATACATCAACGTTGGCTCGCAGCTGGGCTGTCAACCGATGGCAAATGCGCCTGTTACAGTGGGCCATTCTACGCTCAAGGAATACACGGAGGACCACTTCGGCATGAAACACGATAGAATTGCTCGCAACTTTGCAGTGATCGTGGCCATCCTCGCCATCTATCGTGTCTTGGGATTGCTGGCCATTCGCTTCATCAATCACCAGAAGCGCTAGATGCCTCGTACTCTCGCTTTTTCAACACTTCACATATTCGCAATACATACACTCTTTTTCTCGTTTCAAAACTCATTGCTAGAATTTGATTTTTGACCTGTTTGCTTCATGAGGCCGTGTTATAGTTCTCAAATTAAGGTTTGAATTCGTTAGAATCTTACATTGTATTTTTTTCATAATGAAGTATTTAATTCTACAGTGGAGTTTGCATTTTCCCTCAATTAGTACGCAAATTGAGGGAATATAAACTTCAGTTTCTACTTCTTAAAGACGCTCTGAATAGAAGACCTTCCTCAACTGAAGCGATACTGTAGAGTGCTCCACATTTGAAAACTTCAATTGGAAGGAGCCCTCTATTCTGAGCTTTAAAATTGGAGCTAGAAAGACCAGAGCCTCCACCAATGCTGCGGGGTAATCGTTGCGTCGGCGTCGCAACGCGAGTCTCTGGCGGCCCGCAACCCATCTATCAAAATCAGCGATCTCCAGAGATGTCAACAATCCCGCATCGTCCTGCCTCAAGCGCCAATCGAGCCTCCTAGGCACTTTTCTCCCAGGTACCAAACACCGAGCCCTTTGTGAGCCCGTCAGCGAAGTAGTATCGGACGATATTAGACTCGGCTCCAGACGACTTATAATTGGCTTTACTGGTGTTCCGGGACATCAAGAACAATGGCGGCACTGCGTGTCACGTGGTGTGGGCTCGAACATCATATTGGCGCTCGCAAAGGAAGGGAAAGTGGACGAATGTGAGGATGCAATAGAGTAAAGAAAAGGGTAGCAATGGATCCCACAACCCACGTAATGGTATTGGACACCAGTTCCCGCGCCAAGCAGTACGAGACAATGCTTCGAGTGTGGGACGCAATGCAGGCCGTGGACTTTGAGCTTCTTCCTTGGCAGTGCAGCAGTGCCATGATAGCAGCGATAATACTACAGCAGACCGATCGAGAGCTTGATGTTCTCGATATTAATGCGATTGAACGGAGTGGATGGATCTAAAACGCACCAATATAAGCATACTACACAAACCAGCACGAGTTGGTCTTCCAAATGTTAACTACATCCACAAGCATGGTATTTAGCGTCGAGTACAAGTACACGATCAGATTGGTATTGAAACTGGGCGAGCGTAAATTTGCGCATGATCTGGTGTGCTTAATGGGCACAAATGGAGTAGATCCGACCGAGCAGTACAAGGCGCTACGTTTGCGTAAAACTGGTGACGTGTTTAATACGATGCATAAAGCAGGCTATGGCTGCGACGAAGCCACCTACGACCCTGTGATTGGGGCAGCTATTCTTTTGAAAAAGAGCGACTTGGTGTTTCTTGACGACACGATGAAGTTTGGAGCCTCTCCAAAGCTTTCGATGCAAATTTTCCCACCGGTAGTGGGAACAGCAGTCAAAACAAAGCAAGACCAGGTAGCGTTGGAGATACTGGACTATATTTACAAATGTGAAATTCACGCAGAACCGACATGCATGTCGGCAATGAACGCGGCAGTAAATTGGACGATATGACTCTTTTCAATCGAGTTTTGCAAGACATAGAGAAGACTGGACTGTAAATGAAGCATCCCTCGTTCGAGAAGTTGTCAGTGTTAAATTATTGTTCGCGATGAATACCCGATACTCGCTGGCTGCGCACAGTGCCGCGTTGCGGCAGGCTCACGAGAAGACGGATCTCCAGGTAACTGTGGTTAAGATACTTAAGTATTGGATCATTTGATGAAATCAGCGAAGGGCCCTAGTGCTGCCTATTTGCGTGTGCTGCAAGACGCGGAAAAGGCAAATCAGTACAAGTTGGTGAAGATGATTGTTGAGCACATTGAGAAGAATGCTGGAGCCATGACTATTGACATGTATGAGGCTATTCTTTCGAGTTGTGCGCGCGTGAGGGACTTGGAGGCCGCACTTGAAAACGAAGTGCGATGTGTCAAGAGGGCTCGCAATGACAGAGAATGCTGTTTTCTCCTTGATCAAGTGTGCTGCTAAAATGTACAAGTGGGATTCTGTCATTGGCGTTATGGGCAATGCTCAGCATCAGGTTAAAAAAACTTCCATTACGATGTACACTGTGGTTTTGAATAGGTTTGCAAGGCGCCTTTGTCTGGACGTGGCCATTGAAATCTACCACGAGGTACTTTGGTGTAGTCATAGAAGGTCATGCTCACGCGGAGAGTAAATTGGAGCTGCAGCATCGGATTTTACGAATGACGAAGAGGCGGAGGATGTCATGGAAAAGGTGTTCGCAAACCCCTGTGATGGTGCAAAGGAAGATAATCCAGAGTCTGTAGAAAGTGAAATCGAAGATCCACCTCGTGAGGCAGCCAGCCACTCAAGCCAAGGGCTCGTGGGATATCTCTCGTCTGTCTTCAAGTGATATTGGAGCCTTCGCTTCTCGTAGCAATTGAAGACGAGTACTGCAAGCATAAGAAAACGTTTTAGACAAGCAGAAACTTCAGGTTCTAGACAACCACGTGCTTCAGATTACAAAACAGAATTTGATTTTCAATTTTACGACATAATTTTTGATTACGTCTAAACTGTCCCATAGAGACTGTGTCCTATGCAATGTGACACAATTCAATTCGCCCCCAGACTGACGATGGTGACAATCAGCGAGTCCGAGCGCGAAGGTTTCGACGATGTGCTGGGCAGCGGCGGCATCTTCCGCAAGTTGCTGACCACTAATACGGACGGCATCCAAGCAGGTAGCATGCTCGTGCAATTCTCATTCCCATCGGCTTTGTATTCGCCGAGATTTCTTGACATATTGACACGTGGATCTGTGCATTGCAGAATTCGGCGAGGAAGTGGGCGTCAAGTACTCGACGTGGGTACTTAAATCCGGACAGAAGGTAGCGGTGGATGAAGCCCGCAAGTTCCGCATCGGAGACGGTGAGGTGATGCCGGCGCTTGAGCTGGTTGCCAAGATGATGCATGTGGGGGAAGTGTGTGAGGTGCGCTGTGACGCTCGCTTCGCCTACGGAGACGTTGGGCTAGAGCCCCACGTGGCTCCAGGAGATGATATCAAGCTTGTGGTGGAGCTTTGCCGCGTAGGCAAGAAGATCACGGCTGAAATGAGCTCCCAGGAGCTGATTGTAGAGGCCACACAGAAGAAGGAGAGCGGCAATCGCTACTTTAAAGAGAAGAACTACGAACAGGCTGCTAAACTGTACAAGCGTGCACTTAAACTACTGGAAACGTGGGAGCATTCCGAAAAAGACGCTGCTCAATGCAAAGAGCTGCTTATCGCATTGGGCAACAATGTGGGCAACGTGCAACATAAGCTGAAACAGTACAAAGAGGCACGACAGTCGAGTCTCGAGGTCTTGCAGCTGGACGGGAAGAACGTGAAGGCTATGTATCGTATTGGCCAAATCGCGCTGGACCAGAACGAGTTCGATGAGGCCAACATGTTTCTGCGTAAGGCGCTTGAGATCGAGCCAAAGAACGCCAAAGTGCGGCAGTTGTTAGTGCAACTTAAGAAGAAGAAACGCGACCAAAAGGCGCTAGAGAGGAAGCTGTACGCGAAGCTTGGCGGCAACAACGCCGCCGAGACCGCCGAGACGGGGAAGATCGCTGCGCTACTGTCGAAGATCCGACAGAACCCGGCGATTCTCGCCGCCGTGGTGACCGTAATCATCGCCATCCTCATGTACGTGTATGTCGGAAAGCCGAACTACGAGATCAGCGATGAACCCATTATCGCTGCGAGTAATGACGATGATACTGACTAGTAAAAACGTTTCAACACTTCGGAAGAATTTCAACGAAAAATAAAAACAGTGTTGAAACAATGATGCGCTCCAAAATGTTTTCTATCAACGTATCTACACACATTCCTCTAGTTTTCGAGCACCACGCGATATCGGACCTTGCCATCGCGCAGCATCTGGATGCCCTCGTTGGCTCTGCTCATCGGCAGCTTCTGAATGACAGGGCGCACGTTCTTCTCGGCCGCAAGCGCCAGCATGTCCTTGACGTCCTGGATGCTGCCGATGTGGCTACCCACAAATTTAGCGCCTTTCATAACCACCTGAGCGGGTTTAAAGTGGACCTCGTCGTTGGGCAGACCCACCATGATGCACGTGCCGCGTGAGGCGAGGAAGCTCAGGAACAGCTGATAGGGCATACCGTCGGCGTCAGCCGTGACCAGTAGGATGTCCACTGAGCCTTCAGCCGCCTTGGCCTGCTCTGGGTCCGAGTAGTTGACGAACTCGTCGGCGCCCAAGTCCCGCACTTCTCTTTCCTTGTTAGAAGAGCGAGAGAAGGCCACGACCGCATCAGCTCCCATGGCCTTGGCGAATTGAATTGCCAAGTGACCAAGCCCACCAATACCCACAATGCCCACACGATCACCAGGCTTCAGACCTGCCTCTTTGAACGGAGTGAAGACAGTCGTGCCAGCACACAACAATGGGGCAGCAGCGTCCGATGGAATGCTTTCGGGGATCTTGAAAGCGTAGGAACTCAGTACACGCACGTACTCGGCGTATCCGCCGTAAGTTTTGCTGCCATCCTGATACTTGGAGTTGTACGTGCCCACAATACCGCGACAGTAGGCGTCGGCGCCCTTGGCGCAGTCCTTGCACGGGTTCTTTGGGTCCTTGTTGAGGCAGGCCCAGACTTGAGCACCGACACCTACGCGGTCGCCTACTTTGAGGTCCTTAACTTCGGGGCCAGCTAATGTCACCTCGCCTACGATCTCGTGACCAACGACGCACGGGTACAGCGTGGGCTTCCAGCCACTGTCGATCACGTGAAGGTCGGAGCCGCAGATGCCGCAGTGCGAGATTTTAATCTCCACGTCCTCAGAGCCGAGAGGACGCGATTCGTATTCCCAGGGCTGGACAGGCTCGCTCTTGCCGAAACAGGCGAGGGACTTGATGGTGCGTGGCGCGGCAGACATTGAAATTTACTTCTGATCTACCACGCACGTTTAAGACCTTTCCGTAAATATATTAGCGTTGGCTGATTGGTGTTTAAATGACAGTTTTCTGGCTAAATATCCAATCATCGACAAATGAAGCACGCACTGAATTTGTTGAATGCAAATGGTCTGGAATCACAATCACAAATTTGAGCATTGCTGTCTGTGAGTGTTGGTCAGTCGTCTATGCATGTCCACTCATCTTGCAGCATATCGAAGTCGGAACTGACGTGATCCGCTTGGCTGCGACATCGACACTATTGTGAAGTTCTCATTTCAAGTGAGTCTTTGCCCGCTGCGCTATTGGCATCTTACAACAAAATTGTCGTCCAACTCGAGTGGTTCGTCACCTTTTGGCAGGTTAGTTTTTATTTAACGAAAAGGTAAAATCGATCAAAGTGACTATGGCAATAAATCGCTGGCTTCGGTGAACCGCTGGAGTACTAGCTATCAGCAAGTACAGTATCATGGCAATTTTACAAGGGTACCAGTGCCAACTCAGGTGCTGACACTGCTACAGAGTTATCCTACCTCGCTAATGTTTTATGCTGCTGACAAGGACCTGCATAATCTCTGATTATGCAGTGCCAAACCAACTCATCAACACACCAATACGGACGAGATTCAATGTCACTCGACCGAACAGCGTGGGCATCTGCCTGCCGCAAGACTGCCTGCGAAACGCTGATAGAGATACCCATCATATTCGAGGCCTGCCTCTGACGGTCAGACTGACCATTCAAGTGTTGAAGACCAAGCCCGATCAACATGGATTGGGATCGCCCACGTCATTCGGATTAGTAAAGCAAAGTGCCATGCGCAAGCATCCAGGAATCGCCCCATAAATGGGCGTTCACCGAACTCCACTCGATCATCTCAAAGCTCACTTTGCAATTTACTCAGCATCAGACAAGAGCAACAATGTCCACCGCCCCGAGAACCGTGCACGCCTACGCCTCCTTCGGAAAGGGTGAGGAGGTCAAGCCCTGGGAGTACCAGTCGCGTCCGCTTGGAGCCGAGGACGTGGAGATCAAGATCTCGCACTGTGGTATTTGTGGCTCCGATCTACACACAATGGACAGCGGCTGGGGTCCGTCCACGTACCCTTGTGTGGTGGGCCACGAGATCGTCGGTG